AACCCTGTCAAGACATATAATTCATGGGCCCTAAGCATTCTCATTCCTGAGGAGAGAGGGAAGGCTTCTCCTCTCTCCTTCCCAAGACAGGATTCCATAATACATTAACATAACCATGGTCTAACAATTGGTTCAAATTCATTTTGTGAAATTCTCTGTTGTTTTTCCTGGTAAAGCCCTAGGCTGGAACCTTCACAAATCCAACAGTTAAAGTTCATCAGGAAAAAATTCAAAAGTGTTTCATTTTAAATTCAAGATCATAAACGTCCAATCTGCCTGAGGGCCCTTCTCATACTTACCCATTAAGCTCACATTTCTACTCTACCAACAACAAAGACACTCTTCATGACAAAACTCAGGACAGGCTTCTCTGAGCCTTTTCGTGACTAAGTTCTGACCTGGTGCTCTTTTCTTGTCTCAGTCTAGTTTTGGGAAGAACCTTGCTGAGTCAGTTTAGCAAAAATTCACCATCTTTGGTACATGATCACATTCAATATCTGATCAAATCTCTCATCCCTCCCTGCTTCATATTTTACCACCCTGGCTTGCCTTCAGCAAGGATCCTGTCAAGTTGATTTAGCCAGAATCCCCCTTACTCTTGATGTTTCTTCTTAGTAATTTTCCATCTGCTGATCACCACCCTGATACTTGGCTATACTTGGCTATACTTGTCCTTGTTGGATTCTGAGGTGAGCAGCTATCTCTTCCCTACTGAAAACCCCTATTTCTGCAGTCTCTCTCAAATAAAGCCCTTCTTACTGGGTTTAAGAAGTCATAAATATTTTTGACACAAGGTGACATATTTCACACTTCCTTTTCAAATTTCTACATCCTCTCCTCCCCCTGTTCTTAGCTGATCACAGTGACTCACGCTTCAGAATATATAAGCACTCGGTCACTCAAAACTCATTCCCCCCTCACCACCCAATGTACATACCCCTCCTTCATCACCTATCCTCTCTTCTTCCCTGTCGCAGTGGTAAAAATGTCTCTTTGCTAGAAGTCAGTCCTCCCACTGATGGTCCCCAATCCCATCCCTTGTTTCGTTGTCAAAAAGTTCACTTCTTCTTCATTCTCTCTCTCCTGAACAGGTAAACCCTTCTTTGTGAGTAAATTAATCTCATCACTGTTAACACATGCTCCAGAATTTTCCATTGAATGAATGAATGAATGAATGAATATCTCCGTTGGCTCCATGCCATCCCCAAAACTGTGGCACCATATACTTTCTTTCATGGCCAGACTTCTCAAAGATTCATCTAAACACGAGTTCTCCACATTCCTACCTCCCAATCATCTCTCAGCCCATTCTAGTGTAACTTCTAATCCCAACATTCTGTTAGGCCACCAGTGAACACTTAATTGTCATACTTAATTGAATGTACTCTTTTCTGTTTGTATTTCATTCTAAACAACATTCTGCACAGTCTGCCCTTTTCTCCTTTATGAAATAGACTCTTTCCTCAGCTTCTGAGGCTCTGTGATTTTTATTTTTGCAACTTCTTTGGTTATACTTCTCAATTTCTCTTTTTGTCATACCTTTAAATGTTGACATTGCTCAGATCGCTAGCTTAGGACTCATTTTCTTTCTGTACAGATTTTTCCTAGGTGACCTTTCTTCTAGAAAAGAAAGAAATGTCTTTAAATACTGTCTATACACTGACGACTCACTAATTTCTGTTCCCAGTCTAGACCTTATCTCTGAGACATCCATTTGTGTTTAAAATCTGCCATGTATAGAATTTAACTCTCACTTTTCGCATCCTGTCAAGGATTTTCCTTCCTCTGTATTCTCTGTCCCTATTCCCCATTCCAACCAGGAAAATATAGGGTCCTCCTTCTGACTCACCACCCACGTACTGATACTGCTATTTCCACTGTGTATTCAAATCTTCCTCTTCTCATCTTAGCAGTGCCCCTTTCCCTCTCATTCCATGCCACTGGCATCTCTTTATGGGGTCTCTACAGTAATCTCCTAACTTATTTCCTTGTTTCTTCATTTCTCTACATTCAACCTATTTTACTCATGGCATCCAGAATGATCTTAGAAAATAAAATTTAAGTACATCACTTCTTGGCTTAAAACCCTACAATGATACTCCCTTATGCTCAGAAATAAATTGACCTCCAGCCACAATTTCTGCCTCTTTCACTCACCGCTAAGCTGTCAGCATTCTTGCTCACCCTGCCACTCTCACTCTGGCCTCTGTTACTCTTCAAACGGAGAATGATCTCCCTGTGTCTGGAACGCCCCCCCACCCCCAGCCTGTGTCTGGCAGCTTTGTCCTTCAGGTCTGAGATTACGGATATTTGTCTTGGAGATGTTATTATCTTCTTTAACACAATTATGTATTTTATTTGCTTACTACTTATTTTTCCCCCATCTCCTCCCCAGACTAGAAGCTCCATGAAGACAAGAATAATGCCTTTCATGCATAATGGAGATACACCTCACACCAAAGTGTCTGGTATGTGACATGTTCAATAAGAATTTGTTCAATGACTGAATTTATAACTTTTAGCTGCTGACAAGGTCTTGCATACTTCACAGAATCCCATTTTTCTCTCTGTGAAGTTTAGAAGTATGATTCTGTAAATTGGTGTGAGATTTCCAGGTTAATTATTAATTCGTGTCTTCTTACACTTAACTATGCCGTTAGCCAAGGTAAATCAAAAGAATCCTTCTTCCTTGACCTCCAAAGAACTTAACTGAAATGATGTATTTTTATGTGTCTCCTACCTCACCATCTCTTAAATTTCTCACCGTATTAAGTCAATTTATATTTTTCTCGTTCAAAAGCCACTTTATAGCTTATTTTCTCTGAAAGAAACATAATGAAAAGGGGAAGAAGAAACCTTATTATGCTTCACAATTTTCTTCTCACTGAATAAAAAAAAGAAATAGTTAGCTTATTTAGGTTATATATTCTTTGGAAATTAGGAAATAAAATATAAGGTAAAATAAAATACATGTGGAATAAGGTAGAGCCCATAAATCTCTGTATCTTACAGCACTTTAAAAATTTTAGTATGAGATATATAATAATATTTCTTAACTACTTTCATGGAAATGTTTCTTCTAAAATACAATTATTTTTATATGAATTGCCATGTCATTAATTTAAAATGTATAAATAGAACATGAACTTTAGTGCTAATTGGCAGTGGTGTTATTTTCCTCAGTCCTAAAAAAACATTCAGAGCTAAAAGTTTACTTGTAAAAAAACATCTACATCAAGACAAGAACTCAAAATACAGGGGCAGGGACATCACTAGTCTTATAGTCATTTGTATGGAAAATAATACAATAATTAATAAATAACAATAGGAGAATAACCTCCGCGTTTCACGTGCTCACAACTCTAAACCTACTTTTGCCCCACCCTGTATTTAAGAAGTAATCAGAGAAAAGACATTTCTTTCAGGATTATAGCAACCTATGACGGGGATTATTCAGGTGCTAACGTTATTAAGTGATACAAGAGTTGAAACAAAAATCAGTATGTTATTTAAAATTCACTCCAATGCTCAATTTTAATAAGGAGAAGTACATAAAATGGTGTGGAAATAAAGTAAGGACCGAGCCCTAACTTTACTAAGTACTAGATAGAAATGCATGGATGTCTTCTATGAGCTTTTGCTATTTTGCTGTGGACAGTCTAGGTTAATTTAAAAATGCAGTACAGTTTTTCCTAACAGAAAAAAAATAAAAGTGAATCAACTGAGACATAAGAACAGAAGAATAAACATTGAAATAAACATTGCAGCCGAAACTAAAGTAACTGAAGTGAAAATGATTTCATAATGAACTTTTATGTTTAACAAGCCCAGACACTTGGAACAGTGTAAGCTATATTAAACCCTTTTATGAAAGGATTATGTTTTGTATGATGAGTGTTTTAATATAAGTGTGCTACACAGCATAAAACACAACTACATTTAACTCAAAGTAATTACAAGAATTCAGGCAAAATTATTTTCTTCTGCATTATCACAATGATACAGAAGAAAAATCCTTCTGGAACCCTTCACCAACATGCCTCTGTTTGAATTCTTTTTGGAAGTATGTATTGCGTCTCTGCCTCAGCCACCTTTTACATCGACAGTTGGTAGCACAAGCCTTTTAACGTGCAAAGGGGAGCAGCTCTTCAGCCAATCTGTGATAAAAGGGAAAAAATGAAATCACTATGGAAACTGCAGGAAGAATCTAAAAGCTCTCTTTATAAAGTAAACGTCTGATGTTTGTGTCTGCAGGGGGAAAAAATTCATAAATCTGTATGATGCTATCATTTCTGATTTGTTATCACTGCAAATGCCAACTGGAAGCCGCCTGACCTTAGCTTCATTAAGTGCGATCTATTCAGAAAGAGTTAGTATTCAACAGGAGGAAGACGTGGTCTGCTGAGAGGTCGGGGTTTCAGGGGATAGTGCAGGAGCGAGCGAAGAAACTAATTTGCTTAGAATGTTTCCTTTCTTTTCTCACTTGATTGTCTTTTTCTTTTATATCACCGTGACTTGATGGAATCAGGCACACGGCATTGTTCTGCTTTGTGTTTTATTTTGGTTTGTTTTTCATTCAGAAATGAAGCATGTCTCAGACCGAAATTCAACTTAGAAAATTATGTCTGCCTTTGATTTTGAATTTAGGGGGGAAAAAAAGACCAAAAACTAAAATGTTAACCCTCTTTCTTCAAACAAAAAGCAAATAAATACCAGGGAGAAGTCATTCTCACTTCAGCACCCTGGGCTCCCAGGAGGAGCACAGTGAAGGTGACCGGGACCCCAGGAGCTCTGATGACTCTGATCAGATGGCAGATGGCCACAGACACCTGTGTCACCAAAGAAGTTTCAGGATAAATCATCTGTTCTCAGGAGTTAAGTGACTTTTAAAAGACAGTGCATGGTTGTTGAAATAGGGAGGTTTCTATTTGTTAATCGTTCACCTGTGGAGGAGGGGCTGTGGGGTCAAGAGGACACTGAAAATTCTCAAATGCGAAATTCTGCAAAGTGAAGAACAGCCTTCAGAAGAACGTGAATATTCAAGTAAGTAGATCAGTTTCCTGCTACTGCACCTATTTCTGCAGTGTTTACAATTGAATACAACTTCATTAGTTAGATTTTCAAGCAATAAGAACTGTGGCTTTCTATTTTTTTTTAAGTTTATGGCAACTTCACCACAGTTGGATGCATTGAATTGTCAAAGATGGATGTGCACGGTAATTGATTTATATCGTCATGCTGTATTCAGACAATTATAAACATTGCTAATCTAATGTTTCAGGGTACTTACGAACAATTAGCAATTCTGCTCTAGCATCTCAAACACACTTTTGATGATAATAATATACTGAGATAGGTTTTATAAATCCTAAAAGGGCTGTTGTGTAAATGATGATTGGAAAAAGATGAGTTTTTTTTCCCCCAGTGAAATGATTAAGGCTTTGAAACTAAAAACACAGGTATTCTGGAAGTGAGCTTGCAAAAATTCAGCACATTTAACAGGGACGATGTTTTGCTTTAAAATAAAAGCAGATGACAACCACTATACTAACTTTATTGAACTTCTACTGCTACTAAAGACTAATTTAGCTATTTGTGCAGCCTTTACAATTTCCAGCATGTTCTCTCATGTTAGAAGAGTGTTAATGGTCAGTGATGCAAAGTCATATGGAAGTGTATGTTTGGGTACATAAACATAAATACAAGCATACTTCCCTTTGGAAATATTTAAATGCCTCATACATACTGACTTCACTGATGCTTTTGTGCATATAATAAAAACCAATTATCTGTGGAGAAAACTTGACTGGGTGGAAGGAAATTAAATTGGTTTTTAAAGACTTTCTTAAACAGCAGTAGCTAGGGAAAGCTCCAATAACAATTTTAGCTCAGGATTGTAATGAGTCTGCTATATTAATAAATCACGCTTTATCCTGACTTGTATCAAAAGATTTGGATGGAGAAGACTGCCCATGACAGAAGGCAGAGAGTAGAGCACTTTCGGCTGCAGGTGTGTGTGGATCAGGCCACTCTCCCAATCCCCTGGAAGCTCTGGAGACCGCTGTTGGAGAAGACAGGTAGGTCCTAGTTCACTCATAGAATGGGGGACAGGATTATACATGTCTACTAACAAAACTTCCTTTCAAACTGTAGTTTGTGAAGGGAATATTCATGTTCTGGAATATTCTGTGATGTTTAAAATGCTGTACAAAATAAACGTAAGGAAATCTTTACCAACCTTTCTGCCTAATTCCCTTCAGGGAGATTCCCAAAGTCCATGAAATGCTTTGAATATCAACTTTCATAAATCAGCTCCATGTTAATTTTTTTCATTGTGCTGTAAGTCTGAGACCACTTAAGAAGACATTTAGGGAAACATGGAAAACATATTGTTTCATTTATGCATGCAACAATGCAAAAACTTTCCCTTTGTTACTGTTCAAAATATTGGCATTCTATTTTCTGTATGCATGTTCTCAGAATTGACTTTCAGAGCTATTCTAGAATAAGAAAGACAACATACCACTAACTAAAAAAATCTGATTGCTTAATTGATAAGTAAAATATTTCATTGAATTTTTCTGAAACCAAATATACATATACACACACTATGTATATACATGCATACATATACACTATATATACATATCTATATGTACATATACATATATGTACATATGTATATATGTGTATGTGTATATATATAGTACTACAGTGAGGGATTATTGGGGAAGATACATATTTTTTCTTTTATTAATTATAAAATGACCAAACTATTCGATATTGCAGGAGTTTGGATGGGTAAAATAAAATAGCCCCTGATATTTGCCATTGAATTTTCACTGACTTTTCTGAATAGTGCTGTCAGAAGCAATGTTTTCACTTACTTAGTGGATTAAATAAAAACCCAAGCATCACACCTCATTTTGGATCTTAAGTATGGAAAAACTTTTGTTTGTATATTTCATGACATGTTTTCTAACTAGTGAAGTTGCATGATCAGATATCTAAGATCTCAGTGTTGAATGTGATCGTGGTAACACTCTCCTCTCACACTCAGCTCTCAAACCTCATCTCTCACGTCCCTCTCTCTCCATCTCTCAAGAAAGTGAAGTTCTATGGCACGAGTCACTCTTCCATAGCAAGGGAATCTCTTTGTTGGCACGAAATACACATGGTCTGATGAGGGTCTTGAAAGTAGTTCATGGTTTTGCATTATTTTCTTTCTATTAGAATGACATTGTAATACTGCCTTGAGTTTCTAATCTGCACCCCTCAGAAATCTCGCTTCCCCGTGGGCTTTCACTCAGAACCAGAATTTAGTCTCCAATCTCGAAAGGCCCAACTGAGATGACACAAAAACTTTTCATTAGAATTTTAATATGCAATCAAAGCCATTTATAGATTATGCACAGAGGTGATCTTCTCTGTGTTTAATAACTGTGTGGAGAACTTAGATAATGTTTAATTTGGTGGAGAGACTATTTTTAACTTTCCCGGAGTCGGGTTACCTGCAATGTTCCCAGAGAGTCTCTTAGAAGTTCTATTGGCGTGAAGTTTATTGTGTGAATGAGTAACTGGCTGTGTCTGCAGCAGGGCCTTGGGGGAGATTATAAACATCGGACTATTCTGCAATATTCTGTAATTCACATTGCTTCTGATAAACCTAATTTCACATCTCTTCGTTCAAACTATGTGGATGAAAAGAGATAAATACCCAGTGGAGTGCCTGGGGAACTAGTCTGCACCTTGCTTCTGTTCATGACTGGTGCTCTAACCTCATCTGTTTATTCCTTAAAACCCCAGCCCATGAAACTGTGTTTTTTTTTTCTTCAAGAAATAGTTGGCACTTTAGGTTGCACTTATGCTTGACATGAATTATTTGGCAAATCGGGGACTGATGTGTAACTGATAAACTTCAGGCTGTATAATAGCCTTGGGGGGGGGGCATCTTGGACAAAAACACCCTAGTAGGGATTCCACAAAAAAACTTTATTGAGAAAAACCAATCGTTTCCCCTGCTCATGAAACAACAAAAAAAAAACGTGTACCTTGCACTGATCCCAGCACTCATTTATACGCACACACACTCGGCAGGACTGTATCCTGTGTTTTATTTACATGGGCACGTGACTCTCATTAATGTTGATAACCCTGTGCACATGCCTCCAAAAAGAATGGACCCCAACTGTGAGAACTGTCTGTATTCAAATGTGTTAAGAGCTGAATATTTAAAATCTGTTTGGCACACCAAGCTTGGGGTTTTTTTTGAAGACAACAGAAGTTGGAACGCAAGATCAAAGAATGAAAAAAGAAAGGGAAGCAAAAGCACCATAAAAAATAATGACATCTGGATGAGGCCTCGATAATGTTCTAATTAAATGTACTTACACCTCGGTCTTGTCACGTGCTCAGGAGTGGAAGCTTCAAAGCCCCTTTCCAACTGCAGCGTTAGACGCAGTCAGGGGAGCCCTGCCTGGGGACAGTTACGTCTGCTGTGATCCAGCTCTGTCCTCTACTTTCTTTCATTGAATGGGCTTCTGCTCTTTTGCTATTATAAAGGTCATCAAAAATTACGTTAACCCTATGACTTACAAAGATATGCATGTCCCTTAAAATGGGTTTGAAAAAAGAAATCAGTTTATCCACTTACCATTAGATTAAATAGGCTACGAGATCCCTTTGTTTTGTTGCTGGCTCACAGGTTAAGATGAGTTGAAGAGAAATCTTGGGTACATTTTTCCTGTCCAGGTAAAGTCTTTTGACATCCTTTCCCTTCAGGGTGTAATAGAAGCTCTCCCTGAGTACAAGACACTAGGTAGACTCTCGGAAGTCACCAATTCAAGCACTTTTAATTTCAAAAAGAGTTTCCAGAGCCTACCTTAAATGGACAGAGTTCTAGTTAAATCAGCATGACCCGAATTGCCTTCAAAATGCTGGGGTTTAGGAGAGGAGACAGGGCGAGAGGAGGAAGCGAAATTTTCTAGGTCCTTTTTTTTTCATGGAGTTTTGAAAAGTCAAGATGAAATCTCTTCTTAGGTGTTCAAAAAAATAACACGTACCCTAGATTTTTAGAAGATGTTGGTTAGGGAGTAGATATATACTGCCTTTCTCGTCACCATTAACGGCCATGTACAGTTAAACCCCCCACGACTGTGTCGAGTATTTTCCCTCTGGCTTTGTAAAGTGATGTCTGAGTGTAGGTTTTTTAAAGAAATTTTATAACCATTTCACAGACTCTGCAACACACCTACTACTGCAGAATATGCAGCACTTCTTGGGGAAATGGTAACAATTAATAAAACTGATGTTCGATCTAGAAAAAAAGGTCAACATGTTTGTAGATCAAGTCTTTCGGGGGAGTACAAGTCCATCTTGTTTTAATTCAATGAGAAACTACTTTTTCTTTTTCCCTTTTCTATTGTTTTTTTTATTCCTCGTCATCGAATAGTGCTAAACAATCATATGCAAGGCATTTTGCCTTCTTTCACTCCTTACAAGAAAATTATTCAATTAATACGCAAAGATGAAAGTTGGAAACTCACCGTAATCTAGAAAGGTCCGGGAATTTAAAGAACAAAAAAGTACCCCCTGGATCTCAGGATTCATCAGGAGAATGTAGAACAAGTTAGTTTTCTCCAAGCTTCCTTAGTTGTGTTTTTTCTGCCCTAGGCATAACTTCAACACTAGTGAGGCTTGGTGGAAGGGAAATGGTTTGGGGGTGCTTGAGAAAGCATTGGGGGCTAGAAAGAGAGAGACCAAAATGACACCAGCCCCTAGAAAAATGGGGAGGGGGCAGCTTTTTGTGTGGGAAGTAGTCGATGTGCCACACCCCTATGCAAAAGACTGGGACTCATCTGGTTTAGGGAACCCCATTCATGTTTTGAAGTACATATATTTATATCCAAGATGCTTTAAAAAAAACCACAATTTCTGTCATCCTTTTATAATTGGCCGGCTGTTCATCCTGGGTGTCAAGGCTTTCTTTTACTTGCTCAGTCTTCCCCATGTAAGCTAATGCTTTATTTCTTCCCAGAAAAAAAATCAGAGACTTGCATTAAATTTAGCATTTCAATAATAGTAGTGAAAAGCCCCTCTTTGTGAAAGATACAGGATTAGTTCCTGCCATGAGCTCATCTGCATCATCTCCATTTATTTCTCCAGGGTGATGAGGAGACCTTTGCATTTGACCAAAAAGCCCTAGTAAATAAGGAGTTAAATTGAAGGCAGGCTCACTGGTTTGCTGAGATCTGTCAGAGTCTGACTGGCTGGCTACATATCTGTCTCTGGAACAATAGGTACCTGTATTCTGCACGGACTGCTGGGCAGCGCGGACACTCTGGAGAAGGTCTGCCTCTGCCTGCGCGTTCCTGGTGAGACTCCCCAATGACAGCTCCACTTCTCAGTGGAGGAGAAAAAAATATCTGTCTCTTCCCTTGATGAAGGACAGGGCTTTGATCATTTTTATTCAGGCTTGTCTTGGCCGGAGGTTTTAGGTTCTTAGTCTCAAGTCAGCAGTGGCTCCCTGTTACTCTCTCTCTCTCTCTTTCTCCTCTCTCTCTCTCCTTTATCTTCTCTCTCTCTCGTTCTCTCTGTCTCTCTTTGACACACACACATACACACATCCCCTTTCTCCCTGTCTCTCTGACACACAGAGACACACACATACACATTCTCTCTCTCTCTCTCTCTCTCTCATTTGCCCTCCTAGGTTCTATGTAGGCAGATGAGTACCACAGCTGTAACTGAGGCACAGAGCACTAAACACAGTGGAGCCAATTTCCACGATGGCGAGAGGGGACACCGGAGGTGACAACAATGACAAGGACTCAAAGGACCACCCTTCTGACAAGTTTTAGGTAAGAAAATCTGTCTGCCGCGATGCTTGTATTTTTGCCTCCCAGTGGCTGAGAGCGAGTCTCGGAAGGGAAATATTGTCCTGAGGGTATCGGCTCCGCTGCCCCTTGCCTGCAAACCTGTGTTCTCGGGGCTTTGTGTTACTAGGATCCTTGGAGGTGAGGTGTGAGCGGGGCTGGGGGAAAGGGTGAGCTGCTTTGTATGTCTGTCTGGTGACATTTATCATGCCGTTTAAAGTCATATCTGGAAAAAATTCTGTTTGATGATAGTTAGCAATGTTTTGTGCAGTGGAGAGCATATGGCCGTGTAGAATTCAAGCGATGCTCTTTCATTCTTAATTTGTAATTATTTTTACACTCAA